GCATTTTGATTTATCAAATATTTTATATAGCGAAATGAATTTAAAATTTTTGGAGAAAAGCAAAAAAAAAAAAAAAATGCACGCGGTAAATCATGTAACGTAAATCTTTCTAAGCCACCGGTCATTATGCCCGATGATCAGCAGAAAATAAATTCTAAGAAAATCTAGTATAAATCTCGATTTTGTGTAAAATAATGTGGTCATTCCAAGTAATTTAATACTTTTACAGAGAGTAAATAACAAATAAAATGATATTTCGTGTCCGGCAAAGTATATCTTTATTTCGTAGCTCGGAAATGATATTTGCTGCTACGCCTTACCTTACTGCGTCATTCAATTTTGCAGATCCGTATAATAAAGGCATGACGCAAAAAAAAAAAACGAAAATGTTTTCGATTAATACAGAATAACCATCTTCCAATCTTCCAGAAAAATTTAATCACACGTAACACTATAAATTAATGATTAGGGTATTTCTCGTTGTATTTCTGTTGTGTTAAGTGTTATATCTTCAAAAAAAATATTAAGAAAGTTAGTGAATACGTTATATAAGAGTCTTATTTACTAAACTTAATTATAAGTTAAAGTGCTTGCAACGATTAATAACTCAGTTATTTAACTAATGCTAACAGATGGTTGGAAAGGATTTGGCCTTGTAGTGGCCAAATCCGTCCAATCATAATGTAGCATTGGTTAATAAATAATTGATATTTATCAACACAAGCACTGCACTATAACCACTACAACCACTATAACAATTATGATATTATGATGTTAAATTATGTAAGCTTTTAACAAGCTCATTAAATAAGCTATTTTCAATTCAGCTATTTTATATTTCCACTTCAAATTTACATTCCCACGCTCTTTTTCTTCTCTTTTTAAACCATTTTTTTATTTCATTTTTTTTAATACATTATACCTTTATAGAAATAATGGAAAATAAAGAAACTGATAGACCCTCTAAAAGACTTTGAAAGGTAAGCATCATATTAATGATATGCCATGCTTTTTTAATTTATGTTTCAATTAAACAATATTTTTTAATGTTTTATAGACAAATTTTACTTATGAAAAACCTATCGATGAGGATATTCACAATCTTATTAATAGCAGCCGATTGACTATTCAACTTCAATCTGGATATGAACTTTATAAAAGTTTAGAGCAAATATCAATTATCAAGAATTAATTGAGGAAGTGAATACGAAAGTCGAATTAGAGGATCAGCTTTGTAGATTTGTACATGCAATGAAAAAAACAGGATGGTTCTCAATACCATGTTTCTTCAGTAAATAATTGCCTTTTTCAATAATTAATTATTTAAATAACAAGTCTATTCTTCAAAAACCTATTAACATTATGGATAAAGATCAGTTTTATAGATTATGGCAAATTTTTAATAGTAAAGTTAAAAGTCTTGCAAATCAAGTGCTTGGGTAACGTAGTGGATCTGATGGACTTACTGAAGAAGAACTTTTTAAAATTGTTGATCATTCAACAATGTCTGGTGAAATTCTTACTAGTTTATCGTATAGGGTCTTTTTTTAATGCTATTCTTTTAGGTTTAAGAGGTGGAGAGCACTTTAATTTACAATTTTATAGTTTTATACGCATATACGCAGAAAAGGCAAATATAAGGGATTTGATGTTATTCATAAATCAAAGACCAATCAACATGATACTAATAATATTGAATCTCAGGCTGATAAATTATATATTCCTGAGATACCTGGCAGTATTGAAATGTATGAAACTTATTTTGCTAAGCGGCCAATTCAAGCTGATCCATATTTTTATCTGCAGCCATATAATATTAATGAAGTTATACATTGAAACTTTTGATTTTTAATTAAATCTAGTGCTAATATTTTATTTTAATATTTTACATTTTTTGAAGTTAAATTTAACGGACAATGATATTTTAAAAAATGTATCTGAAAAAGAAATTAACCTCTTTATGAAGAAAATTATTACTTTAACTGGAATAGATATGGATATTCGTAAATTCTGGCCGTAAAACACTTGTATAAATATTGAAACGACGTGAATTTTGAATGTATTGCAAGTACAAGACTTAAATCAGAACAAGTTCTTGCTAGATATGAATGCCCAGGTATTGAAATTCAACAAAATAATGCCTTGAATTTCGCTGAAACATTTGGATTTAATGAAAGTATTAAACAACTTAAGAAAATTTTATGACAGCTATACTATTTAATTGTAATAAATATTTATTTATTTATAATACTGCAATATTTTATACTTTATTGTTAATTTATTTATTTATTATTTTTTTTTAGACAAGAACAAAGTTGTTGATTTCACTTCAAGATTATAATAGAATTCGAGAAAACCAGAATGAAAATTTGGGAAAATTGATTTCAGAATTGACAGCCGATAAAGTTTTTATTAATTCTGTTGTTACTTTTAATACTAACAATAAGAAAAGACGTGCGTTGGAATACTCTAATACATTTTATTATACTGCAGAACTACTGTAAATTATAAATGTCCAATGTTATTTCAGGATTTGGCATTGATGGTAGGAAGCTAACGAGGAACAGAGATGGCATTTGAAAAAAAATATGTGACATGAATAAGAAAAAAATAATATTATTCAATAATACGGAGCTTCATTGTTCCAGGAATAATGATAATTCGAAGAAATTTTAGATAATATTAAAACTTTAATTTCATTATTGTTTTCGCTATATAATATTTGTGCAACAATGAATTTCCAATAAAAATATGAATTTATTAAAATTTAATTTCTATAAACCTTTTTTAGCATTATAATTTAATAATTAATAGATAGTAAAATATATCATCTAACGATTTCAATTTTCAAAATAGTTATTCTAGTTCTGATGACAAAATGTGTCACGAAAAATCACGCAAAATGATTTATTAAGCATTAAAAAAATAGCATCGCCCCAAATTGTGGTATTTAAAATCAAAAAAAAAAATCTCAGAGATGATTAAAGTTGATCAATTTAGTACCGATGATTTGTTCCGTTTGATTCTAAAATAATTTTTTGTATTTAGGACGTGAGGATTACAAGGCTTTGATTCATTTCTTTAATTCCATGAAACTAAAATAATATTTATAAATTTGATACTATTAAGCGTTAATGTTAAAATCTGCTTAGTTATTTCACTATTATTTAGGGATGTAATGTACGACATTGATAATTACGTTCACCGTATTGGAAATATTTTAGTCCAAGTATTTACAAAATATTTTATACTCATTATAATTATAATATTGAATAATTCTATTACAATCAAGTCACAATTATGTCTCATGACTCAATTTTAGTAGCAAATAAAATAAAAAAAGCGACTACATTGAATACTTTTAACATATAAAAACTTTTTTATATGCTTAGCACATATAGTATTAAAAAAATAATTCAAATCCATTTAATGGAATAAAAATTTGATAATACAATGTAGAGAGTAAACAATTTAGCTATCCCAAAACATACATTCGATTCGTCTTATTCTTTCTCGATTCACCTTTCAAATTTAGAAATCATTAATTTTTATAACAACCTTACCAAATTTTTTACTATTAAACATATTCAAGAAAGCTTGTGAAGCGTTTTCAATACCGGTAACTACGTGTTCTTTATATTTCAATTTACCTTCTTTTAACCATGGTATCATCTCAATTTGGAATAAATCATAATGCTCTTCATAATGATTGAATATCAACATTCCATATATTGTAATTCTTTTACTTACAAGTACCGAGAGATTTTTAACACCATATTTTGTTGTTG